GGATGCGTCCGTGGCGTTTCCGCGTCCGGGATGCCTCTTGGCGGTTGCGAGTCCTGGGAATTCATGGGGCTTTTCACCCGAGTGTGCCTCATGGGCACATCTGAGCCACAATCAAAACCGATCGGTACCAAAATGGTGATCCCAGAACCATGTAAAGGATTAAGGCGGCCGCACCTGTTCTTGGTTGGGATCGTCCCTCACTAACCTTCATCTACCCGGGTTTTGAGTGTGACTCACATGAGCTTGACGCAACACAACCTCCCCCCTGCATCTAAAGCAAATGGTTGGCGAGGAGCCGACCATTGGGGGTTGCTTGGCATCCTCACTGGCCTCGACCGCTGAGAGTTGCTCGGTTCGGGAGAGTTTTGAGCTGAATGATGACTGAGGCCAGGCCCCTCGGTTTCTTTGGGGTTCATGTCGGCTTGGCAAATGGATGATATGCAGTCTCTTGTTGGATTTAAGCTTGGCTTTGGGTTGGCTTGGATCTGATTTGTGCGGTGGCTTTAAAAGAAAACAAAAGCTAACCCCCCACCCCCCCCAACGCCGCCCCCCGCCACAAGAAGAGCCCCAAAGGCCCCCCCCGCCTGGAACACAGGGAATGCCATCACAGCCGAGCGCAGCAACTCCAATGCAAGCTCGCGTTGGCTGGACCTCGATCTATCGAATTTGCAACGAGAGAGCGAATTCAGAGAAGACTTGCGCCGAGGCTTGCGTGGAGAATTTTCAGGAAGGGGATGCTTCAGTTCCGTTTCTTGGGTACGCCTGAGGGGACTGCGGGGGGGGGGGGGGGGGAAAGAGAACCCCAACTTCTTCTGGGTAGTGGTTGCTTGTTTCGCCTTTCGGGTTGCTTTGGTTAAAACACAAATCAGCCTTTGATTGACTCGATGGATCCAGTTGTCAGAACTTGTCTCCGATCCCTCCGAGGCTTGGAAAAGCCACCACGATGTCCCCTGGTCAAGAGGATTAAGCACGCAATGGATCAACTCGGTTTTGCTCGCTGCTCGCAAAACGCCAAGCAAACAGCACCTCAGTTTGCCCACATGGCTCTTCTTTCTTCTTCTTTTTTGGAGGGGGTGTAGAACCACAAACAAAAACACGTCTTGCTGCCCGTATACCTGCAAACGTGGCTCATCTCTTTGGTGTCCCATTGCCCCCCGCTTCCCCCCTTTGCCCCGAACCTCCCCTCGGCTCGCTCTGGTTTGTCGGAGATTTCTGCCTTTCCGCCAAGCTGCGGCGAGAGGTTCGACAAAATCTTCGGCGCCACGGAGAGGCTGAGTTCCTGATGATTCTTCGGATTTCGCCGAGAGGCCAAAGGAAAGCCGCGAGGTGTTGGTCCCCTGTTGCCTTGCCTTGACTTTGCCTTGACTAAGCAAATAGCTTCTTGCATGGACTTCCAGTATGTGGTCTCCCCAGCAGATTCAGTTTTCGGGTCTCTACCCAATCAAACTCTGGGGTAGTGTAGAAAGTTGAAACCCAGGGTGGGTACAATCCCCCGAATCATGGAAGCGGGGGATTCCAGAACCATTCTTCTCCGCCACCCTTCTTTTCTTCAGCCACCCATGTCACCCCATGTCCCCCGTTTTGGACGTCTGCAAAAAGCCCCAGAACCAACATGGAACCTGACTGGGTCCTGAAAGACCAGTTTCCTCTAGGGCCCGGGCCTCTGGTTCCAAGTTGGTGGGGCAGCTGCTATCAGAAACCAGCCACCAATTGTATGTTTCCACTCGTGATATCCATCTGCTGAAGATGCATTTTAAGAGAAGCATGTTCGTTTAGAGGTTGGGAAGTTTCACCAGGCTCCCATTTAGCTCGACGCTAGCTCCCATCCTCTTGGCGGTTGCTTGAAGGGACCCGGAAAGAAATGGCATGGGCCAAATGACATGACAAGCCTTTTTCCGACCAGACGTGGAAGGGGGTCGAGAATAAATCGAAGCCCGCGCTGGGGCAAAGAGATGCATTGGGTTGCGTCAAGGTTCTCTTGAAGGAAGGGTAGAAAAATCGGCTGAAAGGAAACCAAAGGAAACCTAAATCTTCTTCCCTTGCTATTTTCAAGGTCGGTGAAACCTCGGGGGCCTGCGTGAAAGGACAAACAACTGGCTTCCTACAAGCCCAAGTTGCCATTCCCGGAGTGCCTATGAAATAGGCTGCGCTAGCCCCATAGAAACCTCTGCAGGATATTTGGACACTGTGCAACGCGGGCTTGTGCTGTGCAAACCATCTCCCAACAAGATGCCCGTTCGAGCTTGCTGACCTGCTCATGGTAGCATCTTTCTGCAAGCACGTCGGCATCAATTCGTTGACTAAGTCTCGTGACAAGTAAAGAATCGCGAGAAAAAAAACAGGCGATCGGCCTGGCAATGTTTCATGCTTTAGCAACCCTCTGTAATTACTCTGCATGGCTTACGGTCTCACATCCTAGCTACTCTTCTGCCCTCCCTCCAACAATCATGGACTGGAATGACATCCAAATGAAGAAGCTTCCTGTCCACTTCTATGCTTGTTGGCAAGACGGTGATTCCACATCCATTCTTCTCAACCATCTTGCTTTTCTTCAGCCAACCGGTTCCCCGGAAAGAAACTCCCCCCCCCAGCCTGCTGGAACTTCTGCCGCAGACCATGCTCCACACGCTTCTGCAGATCAGAGGGCACCTGTCAAAGGGAACTGCAAACGTGACATGGCCATGGGTCAAAAGCCAAAATCGGTTAGCCCCCGGTGACCCACAGGCACATCCTCAACATGACGCTTCAAAGGGAACCGGGACCCCCCCCCCTTCCCGTGCATTTGGCGGCAAATCTTTGCAAGCAACTGTCTTAGATGAAGGCTTCCCGTGTGTCCATCCTCGTGCCCCCTCCAAAGAAAACAAAGGAAGAAGAAGAAGCCCCACCCCGCCCCGAAAAAAAATGAGAAAGGAAGCGGCTATTTTGAGAGATTCCCTCCAAATGCAACCAACTGAAGAGGGGTCCCAATAAGGCAAACAGGGCAGTCCAAAGCTCAACATGGCGGTTCTGAGACTCGGCCTGGCTTTCCAACCGCAAGCTGGGCAGATGAGGACCCCAGAGCGGGCAGTTCAAGGTTTGGCTTGATCCCCCGAGAATGACAAGCGTAGGAATAACGTGCTGCTTTGATAGGCAAAGAATGAAAATTGGAATGACCCTCATAAACCCTCCATTCTTTGTGGTTTCCTTTGAGGAATCCCCTTCCGGTTCAGTCCCAAAACCCTGGGTCATTCCCTACTGAGCAGCAGCAAGATAGGGAGGCATCAAAGCCTGGCATTCCAGCAGGCCCATATTCAGAATCCACCGGGCGGCTTCCGCAATGGTTGGGACTGTCCCCTACGTCTACCAAAACTTTTGGCTTCGGGCAGGGAGCTCTCTCCCATTGCACTGCCACCTACCGGTGGCCTGCGAAAGCAGCAGTAGGTGGGCGATTCCCGGAAAGCATCGGTAGGTAGCATCCACTCGGCAAACTTTGCAAAACGAGATGAAATGAGGAAAAATAAGGAGTCCAGTTATGAGATGTTTGCATTGGCGGGGTGAAAAGTATTGTGAGGGTGGAAGAAGCGGAGCCCAACCGAAAATCGGTTGCTTTGAACCAAGGCTCCGGCAATCATTCCATTTCAGGCCCAAGACACATTTCCCGGAACAGTCCGTAGTGGTCAACATGACCTTCAAATTTCCCAGCGTGTGCTTAAGCCAAACAAAAGGAAGCAACCTGTCCTCCTCCTTTTGCCGCATCCCAAAGCAAAAACCACATGCGAGTCGTCTCCGCGCGCCTTTCGCTTGCGCATGAACTCGGAAGCTTGCCAAACCTCACAGGAAAGGACGGAAGAATTGGGGATCTGTCCAAGTCAAACTATACAACAGGCTGGATATGTGGAAACATCACATCAGGGCCCCCGCCCCTGTTGCGCCCAATGACTGGAAAACCGAATACATTCCAAACTGCTTGGCTCTGGAGACCCCCCTGTCTTTAGCCCCAACAAATGCGTTGGACAAGATTCCATCCTCTGAATCTGGAGCAATACTCGCGATTCTGCACTGATTTGTTGAAAAAAGGACAAGGACCAAGGTTCTGCACCCGTCATCTTACCGGGGCAGTACTGTACCTCGCAATTGGCTAAGAATGTGTGTAGATATGAAATAAACCTGGCATGAACATGTTTTTTGTTTGAGTCACTTCCACCTCATCTTCTGGGCCCCAAAGGTGTGCTCGTATTTGTCCATCCATCAGGACTCAGCTTTCCTGAAATCCGGGCAGCCAGCCAAGTCAGGCCCAAACCCAAAACGCTCAACATCCCCCTAGCGGGTGGGTTTTCAAGGCTCAACAAGTCAATGAAATACTGATAGGGACACTTCAAGCGGGGTGCCTTGCTGGATTCAGTTTGGCTCTTGCAATGCTCATAGAGCCGACCCTGCACTACAGTACGCAATGTGTGCGCATGACCGAAGGGTCTGCAAGTAGCATAGTATTCCGAAATCCTCTGCTGCGCTTTGGAGTGCAAACATCACCGACACCTTTCCGGCCATGACAACACTCTTCAGCTAAGCCATTGAAGGGGATGTCATGCAACTCATACGCATTCATGATATTGTCCCCGTTGTTGCCCAAGCAACTCAGAGAGCTCTCCATGAGTTGTCCACATGCCATCCCTAGCTGTCCGCTCGGACAAATCGGTGGCATTGGCAACGAAACTGACTTATTCCTATGATACCGTAATTATTGTGGAATGGACAAGGGTAGCGGAATGCGCCTTTTTTCTGTTCACGCGGCGCGAGGTGCGTGAATTGGGAACATCCACTACACAAGGACATGCCCGGCCAAAACTAGCACTTGAATTCCAGTCAGACTCATCCACCAGGAACGGCCTCACTCTCTCAGCTTAGCCTTTGCAGCCAAGGAAAACACGAAAGGAAACCCTTTTTGTTGGCCTGTTTCAAAGGCAAGCCCACGCAAAAAAGACAGAGTACCATGGGCAGGTAGCTTGTCCACACCCAGCACCCTAGCGCTTGGAAGAGAGCGTGCGAGACAGCCAGTCCAATCCTGCAGGGCAAAGAAAGCTCTCGAGCCGTCTCAGTACGTAGTTTGTTTTCACCAAAATCCCAACCGCCCAACATCTCTTCTTCGTTCCCGGCAAACCACCGTCGTAAGAACGCATCAGAATTGATGAACTCCCAACATAAACAACTAAACGACGAGCCAAGCACCACAGTCCAGCTAGGCACCAGCTCGCCAAAACCGCCTGAATGGGCTGTGGGACATGAGGAAGGGCTTTGTCCCGTTTGTGTGGTACCAGGGAGCCCTCTGGCCCTGGCAAAGGACTTGGTATGACGCAGATGCTGAAAATAAACCCAAGTGGGCAACTGAACTCTTTGGATCCACAAAGTCTCCCAGCCCCGCCGGATCCGTCCTTCGTAGAGGCCGTCGCCGGTGGTGGCGCAGGCGGACTGAATGAACCACTGGCGGTGACGGAGGTTGTGCAGCCCCAGCTTCTCCGTGACCTCTGCGGCCGTCATTGCGTTGGGAAGGTCCTGCCGGAGCAACCAGCACCTCCCCACTTGGGGAAGGTGATGTATTCCAAGCGGTTGGGGTTGCTATTGGTGTACATTTTTTAGAACCACCCAAAAATGGGTTCTTTATTTTCCTTGTGTCATTGGGTTTTCGGAGTGCTCTAAAAAGATCAACGCTTTGGGCCCCTTTGCCTGCTTCTGTGGAAACAAGGGCAAAACTCGCAAGGCCTCTTCCGTGTCTCCACTGTCTTAGTCAAACGCTCGGAATCTGTGGCATGTCAGTCAATGTTCTCCCTCACATGGGCGAAGGTTGTCATGCTGCAGCCGAAGCACGACCGTCCGCAACAAGCCTTCTCGCTTTGCCCCTTCGTTTACAGTTGGTGGCTTCTCCGAGCAATGCTCGCCATTCTTTGCATGTGAGCTGCAGGTCTGTCCCAGCCCCTCACCCTTCCTTGCCCAAAAAGAGTACTGTATGTTTCAATCTTTGCTGAAAGGTTTAGGGAAGTTATATTAAACATTAAACCGACCGTGCTTTGTGTCAGTGTTGTTTCTTCTGTTTGTTTGTTGTTGGGGAGGGGGGAGGCCTTCACGTTGAGGTGCCTCCACGCAGGCAACATACTCCGAGCACATATATCTTACTTTGGAACATTTGATGGACCTTTTTCACACGTGGACTTTTGCCACATCCTTCAAACCCCTTTGGATCGAACCAGTCGACATCCGAACAAGTGATACGATCTTGTGCATTTTGCTTGAAGACCTGCCATTGCATGGTGGCTTCAGTCTCCCTGAAATGGCCTGGCCAAATCGACTCTGAGATCACACCAGCCAATGGTGAACCCGGATTAAGCAACCTGGCGGATTAATCCCTCTAACAGGGGACACCCCCTCATTAATCAGGCAGGGGATAATGAATCCGGTCTGCAACATTTGCATGCCATGGGTCCTGCTTGTTGGCAAAGACCAGCAGCACGGCGTCACGCATCTCATCTTCATTCAGCATCTTGGTGAGTTCCTCACGGGCATCCTCGATGCGGTCGCGATCATTGCTGTCGACGACGTAGATGAGACCGTTGGTACCCTGGTAGTAGTGGCGCCACAAAGGACGGATCTTGTCCTGCAATCCATGCAAACCTGACTTAGGAAGGGATGGGGGCAACACTTCTTTTGCACTTGCCACAACATATGGCCATGGGTCAAAAGCCCGTACCCCCAGTGAACATCCCAATCTCCACTAAAATGGACTAAAATGGGTGCTGCACCTACCTCAAAATGGTGCCATTGGTTTCCACAGTCATATGAAGTGCAACATCTGGCAGGACCGCCATGTTCGTCGCTCAGCTTTACCTCGAGGGTCCTGACCGCCCACGTCCCAAACAGTGAAGGACAAATTCTTGTACTCGACGGTCTCCTCAGTCGTTGAAGCCAAGAGGTGAAACTTCAGCGGGCAGAAGCTGTCTGTTTCCCGGAAACGAGGAGCCCCCGAAGGGCCGAAGGGGTGGTTTACAACCAACAATGAGGTTCCCAAATGAACCAACATTGACATCGAGCCCAGCAGATTTCCCAAATGAAAGTTGGTCTTCACCCAAGTCACTACGTTAAAGCCGATGGTGGGGATGGTCGTAACGACCTCACCCAGCTTCAGCTTGTAGAGGATGGTGGTCTTGCCTGCAGCATCCAAGCCAACCATCAGGATGCGCATCTCCTGCTTGCCGATCAAGCGCTGCCATATCTTGGTGAAGGCAAGCCCCATGGCGAAAACCTACCAGTGATCTCACTGAAAAGGGAGCCAACTTGGCTCAGTGCGGCGAAAATATTGCTCAAAGCTCACAAGCAAAGGTGAATTCATAGATTCGCAGAAGACACGGGCAGACCATTCAAGACAGAACATTTGTCACCGGACTGAGCAAGCCAGTCGGCCTCACTTCCAGCATGAGGCCCAGACATATTTCTCCACCTCGTCGTCGAAGACTGTCCGCAAGGCCTCGAGTGGATGCAACATGTGTTGGGACGCATCGCATGCTGGGATCAAGCAAAGCAGCAGAGGTGTTTTTCACCGCTGACCTTGGGTTTGTGCTTTGTTGAGGATAGCCTCGTCTGTTTGGTTTAACAGCAATTAAGAGGAAAGCAAACATACACTTGGTTGCTGATATTGCTACAACAGCCCCTCCGCAAAACAAAATGTTCAGTATGATCCGCTACCAGATAGCCGTAAGGAACATCAGCGAGGACTGGTCCTACAAAAAGGGCTGTGGGGTTCCACAGTCTACGGTTACGCACGCTGGGCTGTGGCAGCTCACCAAAGTTCTTCCGGCCGAACGAACAATGTGGGTCGTAACCAAAACCTGATATTGAAATGCCATGCAAAGAATTGAAAAGGCGGCCGCACCCATTTTGGCTGGGATTGTCCCTTATTACCCTCCAAGTACCCGTGTGTTGATTGTGACTCATGTCAATGTCGGAGGCCTTGGCAATCGAGTAACTACAACTTTGACGTAGAGATGAATAGAACGGATCCGCTTCTTCATGTTGACTCCGCATTAATCAATCTGGCGGATTCACAGACAAGACATGGGATTCACTCTAAAGTGGGGCACTACCTGAAACCCAAAAGGAGATCCCTGTAACAAGGACGGATTTGTGTGGTCTATCTCAATCAAGCAGGGTTGGTGGATCCTGGGCTCCCCAAGATGAGCACTACTGCCTGAACAATTTGGGGCGAACGAAGTACTCCATGTTCATGGAGAAGGGGTATGATGCTTTAGCTCTCTAGCCTCCCATCCATGGAACCTGACTGGGCAACGCGTCCTACTTCTCGAGCAGGGCTGGACACCGCAAATAGATGGCAAGATTCCCCTTGTGGGTAAGAGGGGAGAACTAAACCACTCTTGGGAAGTTGTGCCATCATTTCGACTGAACTAATCAACCTGGTCCGTAACCACTAGGTTGGTCAAACTATTCCCTGGGCATCATCTCTTTTGCTCAACTGGGGTGTCAAAATAGGGGCACCCCAAGAATGGATTTTGTTTTTCCTTGTGGTGTCCCTTTACACCCACCTTAAACAAACAGTATCTCCGGACAAAAAATAAAAGAGAAAGAAAAGAAAACACGATAAACTAGAGAAACCCACACGGCCCATTCCATCCGAACGTCCGCCTGCCTGCGCCACAAAGGCGACAAGCACCCCGGAGAAGAGGCTGGAGGCAAGCATCACCATGACGCAGTAAAGGCGCGCACCTCGGGTTGGGAAAACCCAAGTGGAGCTCAGTACGGGTGGAAAATACCCAGCAAACCAATGGGAAAAACGGGTCGTAGCGCGAAACCGTGAAACAGAGCAGATCGTTCTTTCGGAACTGGCAAAAACCCGGAGGTTGCGGCTGATCCCTCTGCACAAAGTTTAACTTTTGGTGGGTTTAGTGGAAAACCCTTGAATTCCCAAAAATTAAAGTCTAAAGATCCAACTCAATAGCAGTCAAGAAACAGGGTCCTTGTTTCGCGCTCGATACTAGGATGTGTTTAGCCAGGTTGAGGCTAAGGGGCACGGCCGTCTAAATGGCCGCTGCCCGTTCACTGGCCTATACCACCCAAACCCAGTTGCCAAGTGGACAAAACACATCTTGAAGTGGCCCCGTTGTTCCACCAGTATCAAAGCCACCCCCAAGTGCTAGGTCAAAGGGACATCACCATGACACCACCAACCAGTTTTGACTTTGCTAACCCCCAAACACGGATCAAATAATGACCCCGCTTGAAGCAGAACGGCACATCGCCGCTGCACTCGGCCTTCAGCCGAGGAAGTGAGGCAAAACTGCCCCCGGCAAGTGAAACCCTGGGCCAGCGGTTGACCATTTCTGTGGAGAAGCAAACGCCGTCTGTTCACAAGTTGGAGAAGCGCATATCAACTTCGGAGAGTATACAGGCTGGTCTAGCGTGTCTGTTTGAAATGGATCATCTCTCTACCAAAACAAGAGCCACCCCTGATCAGCCAGACTAGATCCGAGAGGGGCCATGAATCCAAGGTAAGGTGACCTCAGACCACACCATCCCTCGTACCTGTGGACCCCTGTCTTGCTGAATGAGAAAGCTGAAACTTTCATGACTACATTGTAAAGGCACCAAACGAGCCCTGGCAAGCACTGATATCGAGTCGAACAGCGTCCAAAGCATGAGTGTGTGTGTATAAGTGTGTGCATGTCTGTGTAGACGTATGTGTGTGTGTGTGTATAAGTGTGTGTGTGTTAAGTGTGTGTGTGTGTGTAGAAGTGTCTGCGGTGCGTTTCTAAGTGTATGTGTAAGTGAAAGTGTGGGCGTGTGTGTGCGTGCGCGTCTGCGTGAGACCATGGGTATGTGAGAGCATGGGTGTGTGTGTGTGTGCGCGTGTGTGTGTGTGAGAGCAAAGGTGTGAGTGCATGTGTGTCGCGTGTGTGTGAGAGCATGTGTGTGTGAGAGCATGTGTGTGAGTGCATGTGTGTGTGTGGAAGTGTGTGTAAGTGTGAGTGTGTGGGTGGGTGGGTGTGTGTGTGTGGTTGCGTCTGTGTTTGTGCTTGTTCTGTTTGTACTTTTGCCTTTGCTTCTCCTTCGTTTCCTGTTCCTGCTCCTGTTTTTGTGTCTTTGTCTGTGTGTGTGCG